CACACACACCACACCACACTCACACACACACCACACACAAACACCACACATACGCACCACACCACACACCACACCACACACACCACACACACACACGCACCACACCACACACCACACCACACACACCACACACCACACACACATACCACACCACACACCACACACACCACACACACACCATACCACACACCACACACACACACCCCACACCACAAACCACACACACATACACACACACTACACCACACATACCATACACCATATACACCCCACACCACACACCACACACACACACCACACCACACACCCCACACACCCCACACTACACACCACACACACACATACACACACCACACCACACACTCATACGCACACACACACACACACACCACACAAACCGCATGTATCACACACCCATACTTCTGCCCCTTTTGTTCCCATCTGTGCTTAAAGGTTTCTGGAGGCAGTCCCCTTTAGCAACCTGCCATGGGAAATACACACTGCCTCCTCCTGCCAAAATCACACAAACACCCATCTCAATGTCCACTCACATTTCCCCACATCCTCTCATCCCACTGCCTCAGATAGATGTGTAGTGAGATAATAAGTTCTAGTCTCCCTTATCCTGTCAAAGACTCAAGATAACAAGGAGACAGAAGCTCAATGGAGTGAAAAATAAGGTGAAAAATGACCCCATTTCAGGTGGGTGGGATGAGTCACAGCTTCCAGCTACCGAATCCACCTACCACAACAGGTTCACATCTCTGACATTTTCACTAGCCCCTAGTCTGTCTCTTCACCATCCAAGTCTTGGTGCAGCCTTGGATATGACTTGCTGTGACCACCTACTGTCATCCATCAGTCTTGTATTCATTTATCTCATCACCATGCATGTACCCCAATTACAGACACACTGTTCAACAAGAGATAAGATGGAGTCTCATCTCTTGAGGAGCTCACAGACGATCAGGGAGAAAAAATAAACTAAAGATTACAATTCAGGATGTCAGCTGCCATGATGAGCCATAGAAATGCTGGGCTGGGGGATCTGAAAAGCTCTCTAGAAGATTTGATGTTCAAGTTGATTAAAAAATTTTTTTTTTTTTTGAGATGGAATCTCTGTTGCCCAGAGTGCTGTGGCATGATCTTGGCTCACTGCAACCTCCACCTCTCTAGTTCAAGTGATTCTCCTCCCTCAGTCTCCCAAATAGCTGGGATTATAGGTGCATACCACCACCTATAATTTTTGTATTTTCAGTACAGACGGGGTTTCATCATGTTGGCCAGGCTGGTCTTGAACCTGACCTCAGGTAATCACTCTGCCTTGGCCTCCCAAAGTGATGGGATTACAGGCATGAGCCACCATGCCTGGTCTTTTTTTTTTTTTTTTTTTTTGTGACAGGGTCTCATTCTGTCATCCAGGCTAGAGTGCAGTGGCATGATCTCAGCTCACTGTAGTCTCTGACTCCTGGGCTCAAGTGATTCTCCTGCCTCAGCCTCCTGAGTAGCTGGGATTACAGGTATGTGCTACCACCTCTGGCTAATTTTTGTATTTTTAGTAGAGATGGGGTTTCATCATGTTGGCAAGGCTGGTCTCAAACTCCTAACCTCAAGTGATACTCTTGCCTTGACCTCCCAAAGTGCTGGGATTACAGGCGTGAGCAACCACACCTGGCTTGATGTTCCAAGATGAAAGGCCTGAAAAATCAAGAGGTGGTTACAGATCAAACGGGCGAGGAGGGGCCACCAGCTGGATGACATTTGGGGTAGTGGGGAAGAGGTGAGACGTAATCCAAATTCTAGGGGTGGGTTGGCAGTACCCAGAGTTAGAGATTGAGGAATAGAGGCTGGAAGACCAGAGGCTGTACATGATGAGCTACTGAAGCATCTTAAGCTGTTTTAAATGGGATTTGTATTTAGACTTGAGCTTAGAAATATTTGAAACAAACCTTAGAAACCATCTAAATATGGCGATTATAGGTCTTAAATATTTTAAGTAGTCCCTATTAAGAAGTTAAAATGAAAATTAATTCTGTATTACGTCAAGGTTGAAATCTAGGTTGCTCAACTCTAGAGCGGTTGATCTTAATCTCTACGCAGGATTATTTTATGTATGAGGAAGTATGTTAAAAAATGTTTGCAAGTCATTAATTGTAATAATTATCCTGAAAGAATGGGGTGATTACCCTTAAAGTGTGGGGTGAGGAAGAGGGAGAAGCTCACTTTTTACTTTATGTAAATCTGATTTAAAGAAAGATAACAATCAGCATTTTTGTATGTAAGGAAAAAATCAGTAAAAGATTAAAACCAGTGAATTTAGAAGAAAGAACTTGCCTCAAAGTAACTGTTAGCCATTAGTAAAACTGAAAATGGTGTTTAAAGCTCTAAATGTTAAAAAGATTTTTGAAGCCAGCAGCAGGCTGCAGGGTAGGCATGATTCTTATTCTTAGGTGATCTTCATTTTGTGTTGAGTTAAATGGTGCAATGCTCACCCATGATGATAAAATAAAGAAGTCCATTTGTGGAGCTTTTGTATGCACGTGTGTGTGTGTGTGTGTGTGTGTGTGCATGCGTGCATGTGCACACTCACGTGTAAATAAGTATGTGACAGACACTTTTGTGACACTTTGATTTCCTGTCTCTGGCATCTACAAAGAAATCAGATTGCTTTTCAAATAAAGTGATACCCATGTCAAAACCCACCGCTTGGCTGGGAAATAAAACTAAAATGAACCAAAAACCACCCTCGTGCCTGATGAAAAAAACCCTGTAGTCTGGAATGCCTTTGGTGTGGAGGCTGATGATTGGAAGTCAGTCACCTAAGTTGAGGGTTTGAAGGATGAGGTCCCTAAATAGGTACCAAAGGAACTTACCTTTTGCTTATATGGGGAGATAGAGACAACTACCTCCCCATTTGATAGAGAAACTGAGTGCCAGAGAAGCAAGGGCACGTCCTGATGCTGTGCTCTTGACCCAAGGACTGTCAGTGAAAGCAGAGAGAGGCTTCTTAGCTCAGAGCGTGAGCCCAAAGCGGGCTTCTTAATGCATCTTCTGTCTTGCTCTGAATCCATGTTTGACTCCAGAGGTCATCGATACCAGCAGGCCAGGGAGGTTTACTTGAGGGCAGTGACTTTTGGCAACCTGGTTGAGTAGAGGAGAGGGCTCGTTTCATCTTCCTCCCACTCCCCCCACCCCATCCTCATCCCCAGCTCCCATAATGGAGCATGACTGTAGTAAAACAAGGCTTTTGATCAAGCTTCTTCACATCACTCTTAAGACAAACAATGTCTCTGAAACCCCCAACTGTTTTTTATTTTTCTTATAGCTAAGGTTTCAGCTTAGTGTCTTTACTCAGCTTCATTTAAAAATGCCCTCAATTAAGAAAAAAATTTTGCTTTTTTATTTTAATTCACAAAACCTACCTACAGAAAATGAAGGGAAGTCTTCAAAGTTACATGAACAACTGCCTTAAAGTTCTAAAAGGGGTTCTTATTTTTCCTCTAGCCCATTAGGTAACCGCAAACATTTTCCAATCTGTTCTTTGGCATAATAGGTTAAGATCATAAGTAAATTTATTAATTAAAACACGAAAATAAATCAAGCAGTGGCTAGTCCTTCACCAGCATGGTTAGTAGGTATGCTTATGTTTCAACACAGGATTTTTTTTGAGATGTGATTCATTATTCATTGGTGTTTTGGAAAAAAATTAGTTTCATTTATATGAATACCAACAATTTTGTTGTATACAACAACGTATACCAAAACCCAACAGCAATAACAAAATCCCAGGTTACTTGATAACAGTTTTGTTGGTATACATATAATTTTAAAGAAAAAAAATTTTTTTTTGCTCATGATGGGGAGAATAGGTAAGGTTAGAGCTGAGACCCAGGCTTGGCTTCCCTGCAAAATGAATTCAGTACATTCCGATTTCAGACAAATGTCTCTTTCCTCACACAAAGGCTTAACCATGTTAACTAGTTAATGTAAAGCTTGATTAAACTCGCAAAGATAATCCCTAAAATGCTGGGAGAAGGGCCCTTGAAGTGCCTGGAGGTGGCAGGGAGGAGGCGGGCCAGTAATGAGGCCAGGTCGTGATTCCAATCTCATTTTCCCTTCTCATTGTTTCAAAAATGAATTACCGCAGTGGTTCAGCAGAATACTTTGAGAAAAATGCAAAGCTGCCTCCCTCGCCTCCTCAGGGATTTCAGTCACCTCGGCTAAGGCTTTAAATATAATAAGAGGCATCGTAATGATCATGCCACGGGGGTAAGAAAATCCTGGCAGGTCACATTTTATAGAACTCTGCTTTTCTTTCAGACCCTAGCCCAGAAGGAGAGGCAGCTACATTTTAGACTAAATGTTTATGGTTTAAGCTTCTTCAACAGCATGAACGTTTACTTCTGAGCTAGTCCTATTGTTCCGTCTGTGATTTAAATATGCTTCTTCTAAATATTTTGACAGCAAAGCAAGTCTCGGGGGTACTTGCATTTTTTCTAGGGACTTCAGGGCCTCAATTGGTTGCAGGGGTTTGGTGAGATCTCTCACTTGTCGTTTGTAGCAGCTACTCTTCATCTCACAGGTATGGGATCCTTGAAGGGGTCTTTATCTATCACCAAAGTTCCCCTAATGTCACCACTGAGAAGTAAGGCTTACAGGTAGTCCTGGCCCACTCAAGACAGACAGCTTCCTGTTGAAGTTCAGTGAAGTGGCCCTTCATTTCTCCCAAAGTCTTAGTATTCCTGAAGGAGAAACAGGTGAAAATACTCTGCTATATAGGACGGGAATTATAATGATACAAAACCTCTAAGGATTCTTCTGGTTACTCTCAAGATAAAGTTATGACATTTGATGCCATTTCCAACCTGACCACAATCTACCTTTCTCCTATTACCTTGTTCTATTCTTTGCTGTTTGCTGTGTATTTAGCTTGGAGGTCTCTACATAGAGCGTGTGCTTCCTCACTGTTACACGCCCTGTGTGCTTATTCTCTCCCTTTTGCAAAACCACTTGCCATCCTCTAGATCCTGCTTAAACATTGCTTCCTCCGTTCTTGATTCTGTCTGGGCAGATAAATTGCTCCCTCCGTTCAGATCCTATACCAGCCCGTTCCTTCCTCTAGCTCACCCATCAGTGACTGAATTCAGGCTGATGGCTGTCTTGACTGCTGGACAACAAGCTCTTTATGGTAGTTCAACTCCATATTCCCAGTGCCTAGCCTTGCGTTTACTATACAGTAGGCACCTAGTAAATGAATGGACGCTTGAACTTGTTTGATTACTTCTGGTTACCATATTGGACCCTGGTAGTAGGTAGATGGAAGTGATGGTGGTCAAACAATGCCCATTTCTTAATTAATAGCTTATGATGTTTGATCTTCTCTTATAAATCGCTTCCTTCTCTTGGCCGAGTCTGTCTATTTAAATGAAAACATTTAATCATATTC